TGACTAACCAACAGCGAACAATCACTGCAGTGTCCATTTGCACGAGATCAATTGTAAAGCCGAAGCCACAGCTATAGCTTTGGTTATATGCGCTATAGAGGTCAAGGGTGAATCGGCATTTATTCTGACAAACTCACAGGATGCCTGCCGTCTTTTTCTTGACGGGGTCGTACCGCGGTAATACCCCGCCAAGGAAGAAAAGACGGCAGGCGTCCTGCATTGCGTATTACACAAACTGATGATGGCTCTCACAATGGATCATGGCAGGCATGATGCCCGGCGCACTCGGGAGTTGAGGGCAACGAACTGGCCGACCGTTTGGCTTCAGGTATTACAGGCCGAGTCACAGACCACGTCACCCGGGAGGACACTTAATTCGACACCTGGTGCACCAAGACAAATTCTGAAATTTCAAAGACTAAGTAGGCGAACTAAAGCTCCCTCTCATCCTAACCTACACAAAAGACAAGCACGGAACTGGTGTCGCCTGCAAACAAACACTGATTCACATTTACACAGGTTACACAGAATGTACCTTCACAGACACAGCGACACACGTCCGTGGTGCTGAGGTACACCGACATTGCAGCACATTACATATAAGTGCACACAATGTCCGGAGAGTGCGATCTCACCTTTGTTTATTAGAAATTTTTTGAATTGGTCATGGGAGGCGCGGCTCGCAGAACTGTAAATGAAAAGCCGATTGGCCACCCCTCGCCAGGCGCGGCGAGCTGCTGTGGCTAGTGGGGCCTTAGAGAAGGGGCACCACCCACCATAACCTTACAAAACTAGTCCTGATATAAATGTTTTTTTTCTTCTTCTTCTAGTATTAATTGTTGTAAGCATTCCCCACAAACGTTACACGTGTTTGGCGAAAATGCCTTGTGGGGTTGATTCCTGCTTCTGTTTCGCTCTATCGAGTGTTCTGTTAATGGTATCTGGAGATGTCGAGAGCAACCCTCGTCCAGAAACCGATACGGCACCCACAGGTTCTGACAGTGCCTTTCTTTCTTTTTTTCTTTATTTATTTGTTTGTTTCTTTCCTTTTTTTTCTGCCATTCATCCAACTGTCCATCCGGCTAACTAGCCACCTACATCTGGGTGCATTAGTTATTGCCTCTTAACTTGGGTGTATCCGAACCTGGTCTGAGAGCTGTAAGAGAGTTGCAGGAATATGATTGCCTGGTCGGGATTTGAATTGCCTGAAAACTGGGAGGACCCTTAGGCTTTGCCTTTAAGAGTTGAACCCGGTAGTGATATCCTATCCTTATAGCGCATATATACAATCCCACTAATTGTTTACCTTTTGTAGTATGACGTTACTCGAAAAGTTGATGTTGTGGGTTACTACAATGTAATCGATAAAGTTGAAAGTTACTTGAGTGCGTTCAGCTTTTCGGTAGCATGCGTTAAACCACGCACAATCATGCGTGTGAAATCTTTTTGAACTTGCTATGTACCCACTACGTGGTCATAAAAAAATACAGAGATGTGTGTGCCTTTTGTAATGAGTGGCTTGCTTCAAAGGGAGCACTGACATCAAATTTACTCATGCCAAGATTTTCGCGTCTGCGAGTAGCTTTAGGCCCCGTAGTAGCAATTTGCGACCTAAAACACAACTGAAGGATGAATAACTATCGCTTCTATTGATTTACATCACAGGTATCTAGCACTATTTATAATGGCCGGCAATCCCGCAATTTTTAGCGCTGGGAGCACCAGCGGTGACGCTACCTCGCTGTCACCTCCAGATCACGCCACAGCTGACCACTTCTCCACAGAAAATAGTGATGTCAGGCTCAGCTACTCCACAAACGTTTCGTCTGCTAGGCGGACACATAAAGTCATGCCTTGTCACCTGCATTGCTGTCGTCGCCGTACTAAGTGTCGACTCAGGTTCAATACGATAGTCTGAAGCTTGGAATACCCACGATTCGCAATGTCGCGAATTATTTTTGCTTCGATCAACCTTTTGCAGAACAGTGATTTCGAAACGGATGCCATTCCAAGCGGCACTGCTAAAATGCATGAGGATGCACGTTTCAGCCATGTTCGCTCGTGTGTCTCAGTTAGCTATATTGGTGTGTTTTGGCGTGCAAAGCATTCAGGTATACACAGAGGGGTCAATGCAATATAGCTATCGCGAATGACCATCGGTGGAGAAATAGAATCAGTTTTCTACTTGCCAGGTTCTTTTTTGCGCCTCCAGATAGCCCCACCTATCCAGCGTCTTGTGGTTAACACGGTATTACCACTTTTACGTGGTCGCAAAGTCTACAGATGAACTAAAGTTCAACGATACCTGCATGTTACTTGTTAGTGATAATATCTGACTATACGCTGTTTCACTTTTGATAGCTTGTGGTCGTGTTGATGTTTAACACATGCGTGATATGAAAAGACACCCTCATAGTGCTTTTTCCTTGCTTCTAACTAGACGACTGCACCTCACCTGCAACTCACGATTCCCCAACATGCTGACCGACAAGCACACATTTAATCATGCTCTTTTCTTTAGCCGTTCTCTTAAAAGTGGTTTTTATCTTGATAATTTCACGAAATCATTCAAACCGGTGCGACGAAGGACAGACGCGACGAGCGGGTGCATTTCTGCGCTTCAGAGGCAGTCGGCGCCACAATAAGAACACTCGGATCGTACACGTCATCACTACTAAGGCATCATCACTCAGGATGGTATTTGTGGAATGTATGACACCGAACACGTAGCACTAGTGTCGATGCCGCAGGGCAGTATATTTTCCGTTTTTTTCTCCTTCGCTTTTCTACGCTGTTTGTCATCGAATTAAAATAACTTCCACGCGACAGATGCCGTTCTAATTTGGCCAAGAAGACCTATGCATATCAAGCGATCAAATAACGGGCACATCTCGATCTTGAAGTTTGATGTCAGTGCTCCTTTAAACCACAAAAGTCACTAATATAATCACATGTGCTCGCCTGATGGCAATGTACGCTTGTAACACGCAATATTACTGCGACATTACATGTGGGAGCTGTAAAAGAGTTGCATAAATATGACTGCCTAGTCACGATTTAAATAACCTGAAAAATCTGGGGACCCTTAAGCTTTGCCTTTAAGAGTTGAACGCAATAGCCTGTACACAGGACGTGCGTGTTTGTAAAGCATAAACATTATTTTCACTGCACTTCCAAGCGCAGCAAGTTATCTTAACTGCATATTAAAGCAGACGCGTGGCCGTGTGATAGAACACCTGCTTGTTACAGAAACTGCCTGGGTTTGATTCTCACTCGGACCTGGAAATCTTTATTACTTATTTTAATTGCATGTTTCTCGATTTATCAGTCATGCGAAATGTGATAATTTTTCTCTCACAACCCACTGCACCAACGTCCACGCCGTAGTTTCTGCGAAACGAGCTCTTTAGCACTATCCCACTTAAATATTGTCGCGCACGTCATCAAACCCTTTCCTTCAAACACGTGTGGCACATATACTCTAGCACTTGGATATGCACCACAGGTGATTGACAATTTATGCGTGAGTGTAAAGAGAAACTAATACGAATAGCGTACACCAGATGAATACAAATATAAAGATTAGAATCTCATCATGAATTGAATCGAAGTGTTCTTACTGGCAGTCAGTAAACAACAGACCCATGCAAAGTCTTATGGTGCTATGCAGGCGCTGTAACTTCATCTGCAGTTGCCGTGTTGGCTATCTCATTTTATAACAAATCACTAAATCTTGTTAATGACATTTGTGCATAAAAAAGAACAAGAACTTGAAGGGGAGAAACCATGATACAAGGGCACACTCGTGGCATCTCCCCATCGTGTTCCCTTTATTTTTTTTGGCGGGAGGGAGGAGGGGCAAATGCCATTCACAATGAAATACGGTCTCGCCCAACGCTATGACACAGAGACACAGACGTCATGCTGGGTTAACGCCATTTGGGGTTCTAATGTTGGCTCCACTTCAACAGCAGTCCAATTAAATTTACGTTCCTATACTTCAGCAAGGTGTGTTGAAGAAACCTTGCTCAGCCCTTGGGAGATTTGCTAATGACAGTCAAGTGTGACATTCACATCATCATACCATAAAGCACAATTGGTTTCGACAGGACTGACGTCTGTGTTATGAGTGCTGACGTTACGTCAGAGCATAAGTTACTTTGTGTGGTAACCAGTAGATGCCAGTGTAGTGGACCTTCCTGGTAAACCAACGTTGTGCACACAACTACTTTGCCTAACATCAATATACCTTAAAGAAAAAAAAACAAAAATAGACATAAACTTCAGCATTACGCTTTGCATAACCAACAGCTCAGAATAATAAAAGAAAAACACTTCAGCCATATGCTGATGCTGGTAGTGCGCACGTTAGTCGTGGTGTCGTTGGGCAACTATGATCAACCAGTTCTCACATTTGCATTTTTTTAGATGCATCAATGTGTAAAAATGTTTTACATGTATGTTTGCTGAGGGCTACATGCATCCGCCTTGTGACGCTATGCTCAATTAAAAGAGCTTGATGGCAAAACTTTTTATGCATATCATTGGTGTGTGGGATCTGCCGAATTTTTTCCAAGATGATTTCTACCATCACTCCCTTTATATTCCCGTGACCATGCCAGTACGTAAGCTTCACAACGTGCAAGCCTTCGCAACTCCTGTTAGGAGAAGCAGTCTGCGAGGCGACTATACAAACGACAAAACAATTTTAGCTGGACTATAACAACAGCAGTGAATGAGAACCTGCACGAACTAAGAAGCACAGTGAAAAACACAGAAATCATTGTAGCAAATATAGCTACAAAGCAAGGTAAAACCAAGGTGTAGGTGTGGAACATTTTTGATAAGTTCTGCAGCAATGTCGGTGGCAAGGGCAAATGCTTAGCACCTTTCCAACACACGCCTCCACAACAAAATAAAGAAGTTGGGCTAGTTGTTGGTTCATGCTTGGGACAGCACAAAAAAGAGATTAACGCAGACACGACACAGGCACTCAATTTGCAGCTGAAAATTTATTTGAAGGAACACGCAATTATACCAAAAAGCGGACCTAGTCCCGTGGCATCATGGCAGTCGCATCATGACACCTGCATAGCAGAGCAAACAGGGTAAAAATATTACCTAATCAGGACAAAATGCAACACGTGTGTATACACCTCAGGAAAATAACAAACCCTTTCCAGGCGCATAACAGTAAAAAAAATATAATCACTCAATGCGGCAGCGCTGAACTGAAGTATCAAACTGCCTTTTCACCAAGGACCACCAAAGGTTTACTCAGCACCTTTCCCTTAGAATGCAAAATGCTTTCATCAGTGCATTTGTCCTGATGGCCAAGCAAACAAGTGGTTTCCTCTGTCATCGGCTGGCGGCCACAGTGCCTAAAATGAGCTGGCAAGGGCAAACCGCCAGAGGTCGTAACGAGGACAGGTGTTCCTTTACTCTCATATTGATGCACCGCCCGATTTGCCCTATATACCCTCTGCATGATACTAATGCTACCCTATATGCAACACATGATTTACATTCAACATATCTATCTTCTTTTTCTTTTATGGACAAAATGTGCAGGTCTTGCACGAACCAGAACATCTTCTACACAAGCTGGAGCAAACATAGGACATATTATTGGGAGCTGACATTAGAACACGCAAACCATACCTATTTGTCATATTCCCCAAGCAATGGGAAAACTTATGCACGTAGGGGACCACAGGTGCAGAAAGCAAATGCGGCTTTGATGGACGAACTTGACTTTGGGAGTGAATAAAGTTAATTTTTCCCTATCACCTAATTGATAGCATGAATATGATTGATTGTGAGTAGCCTGTTGGAAATCCTGCTTGATCCTTTGGCAGATTGAATTCTAATGTTGACTCAATTCTATTAGCAATCACCTTTGTAAATAGCTTCTAATGACAGAGAGCAAACTGATTGGCCTGTAATGTTCCATGCCCTTGTCATGCCCTTTTTATGGATTAATATGATGATAGCATTCGTCCAAGATTCTGGTACCCTCCCCATCAGAAGACACTTCGTAAACAGGATGGCTAGCTTTTCTAACACAATCTGTCCTTTGTCTGTCAGAAGATCTGATGTGACCCGATCCTAACCAGCAGCTTTGCCTCTTTGCATTCCCTCCAAGGCTTTCCTGACCTTTTCTGTCATTAGTGATGGGATGTCATCTGGGTTACCAATAGTTCTTACATTATGGTCGTGGTTGTCTCGACTACTGCACAGATAAGCTTCATAGATGGAATCAGAGCACTGAAGAAGCTTCACACTGTGGAATCAGGGCACTGAAGAAGCATATATAAACATCCATGAAGGAATCTACAGAGGATGAACTGCCACCATAGTGCTTTATGAAGAAAGCGACGGAATGCCAATAAAAAAGGGTGTAAGATAAGAGGATACAATCTCCCTGATGCTATTTACCGCATGCTTAGAGGAGGTTTTCAGAGACCTAAAATGGGAAGAATTAGGAATAAGAAACAACAGAGAGTACCTTAGTAACCTGAGCTTCACGGATGACATTGCATTGCTGAGTAACTCAGGGGACGAATCACAACTCATGATTACTGATTTAGACAAGGAGAGCAGAAAGGTACGTCTTAAAATTATGCTGCAGAAAACTAAAGTAATGTACAACAACTTCGAAAGAGAACAGCACTTTGAGATAGGTAATAGTGCACTTGCAGTTGTAAAAGACTACGTCTACATAGGACAGAAAGTAACCGTGAAGCCGAATGAAATTAAAGTAACTAGAAGAATAAGAATGCGGTGGAGCACATACGGCGAGCATCTCAAATCATAACTGGTAGATTGCCACTATCCCTCAAGAGATGCAGCTGTATATAACAGCTGAATCTTGCCAGTACTTACTTATGGAGCAGAAATATGGAGGCTTACAAAGAGGGTTCAGCTTAAACTGAGGATGACCCAGCTAGCAATGGAAAGGAAAATCATAGGGGTAACCTTAAAAGGCTAGAAAAGAGCAGAGTGGATCAGGGAACAAACCAGGGTTAAGAATATCATAGTTCAAATCAAGAAGAAGAAATGAACATGGGCCAGGCACGTAGCACGTAGGCAGCATAACTGCTGGTCATCAAGTGTAATTGACTGCATTCCCAGAGAAGGCAAGCAAGTTAGGGGGAGACAGAAAGCTAGGTAGGCAGATGAGATTATGAAGTTTGCGGGTATAAAGTGGCAGCAGCAAGCACAGGACCAGTTGACTGGCGGAACAAGGGAGAGACCTTTGTCCTACAGTGGGCATAGTTAGCCTGACGATGATGATGACACCTAATTTTGATGTCAGTGGGCACTCGGCAGCATATATTAGCCAGCTTGGAGAAGCAGCGTACTTGGCCGGCCAGCGTCTCAGTGACAGTGAAAGCATTTCCTTGCGATGACGAACTCAGCGCAATGAACAATTGCGGAATGCATTCACAGCACCAAAATAATGCTCTTTTATCGTCTGTTTTCTGCGCTGTCCGTCATGTCATACAAGCTCGCCCAAGTTTCCCATACAATGACAAAACCTTCCACGAGGATGTGCATTCATATGCTGTAGCCGATGAACCATTTCCAAGTTTCACGATCCACCTTCTCGCAGCCTCTATACCGGTGTGACATCAGGTTCTGTTGTATCACGACCTCGTATACGTCCTGCAATGTGGCACCGACCACAGCCTATACCAAAAAACACTGCAGGGCTCTCGAGGGCACAGCCTTCCCATTTCAACAACACAGCACGTGGCATTTTGGTGTTCAGCGCACGTCGGTGCTGACAACGCTGCCTGCACATCACGCCGACGGTGGCACCAGCCCTGCATGTCGTGGGCCACGTGGGGTCGAACACAGAGGAGTGACGGGAAGAATAACATTGGAGGACGGCAAAATGGGTGCCTGATATCCCAGTGGAGATGAAGAGAAATGCTGGCCACGCAGTGACTGATGGCAGTCCGGGAAGAAGTTACCAAATCAATAAGTTTGCAGAGATAAAATGGCTCGCAAAGACATTGGGAGAGGCTCTACAGTGAAAACAGACAGTAACAAGACAAACTTGGGCTTCATGATAGACCGACAACGCAACCACACACGGAGAAAAGCAGGTATACAACGGTGATTTAAACTTTCTTATTTCAGAAACAACAATTATAAGAACAGCCACCTTATGCTTTCCGCATGTGAAAACTGAAGAAACGCAAAAATCAATGAGTACCAATAAAAAAACGCAAAAAAAACATTGTACATCAAATTCACATGTGCTAGTCTGAAAATTCCGGGTTATAATCATGTAACTTCACCAATGGTTCACTATTACATGAATAAGATTGTTTTTTAATGCCTTGTTCGAATCTCTAACAAGCATTTTTTATGTCTCTTCAAAATTAATCCTTGTTCACATCTGTCTCTGTTAACACGCAATGCCTGATGAGCATACCTTCTGATGTTGCATGATTGCCCTATGTTCTTTTAACCTAATGTTCACACGCCACCCCATTACTCATTTCTGACATAAGAAAATTTAGTGATACATGTGTTTTCCTGCACTACCTACTTTTCTCTGTCTGTGCTGCTGGTCCATCATGGTCAGATGATGAAGTGAGAGAAGATGCCACATTTGTTTATGTAAATATCGAAGGAGTCTTTTGCAGAGACGAACTGCGGCAGAGAGCGCTGGCGAATGGTACTGCTTCGTTTGCTTTAAAGCCACATAAATGACCCAGCTGCAACATTGTACTCAGTTGCTATTGATTGGGTACATAACTGGAGATTCGTTTCAATATGGATCATGATGTCGAGTATTAATAATGGCATAGCATCGCACATGTGCTAAAACATGCGGCACAGCACATTTCTATGCCCTCCTACCACTTTGCCTGTTTACTTGACGACATTGTGGATTACAGTCGAACCCCGCTACAACCAAACTGACGGGACGCGAAAAAAATTTTGTTAAAGCGAAAATTTCGTTGTAGTGAAATCGAAAAAAAAATATCGCTGATCTGAGCTAGCGAAACAAAGGAACGTTTATTCTCAAAATTAAAAAAAATGTCTGCTACTTTCTATTCTTTCCCAGCAATGTCGCGACGTGATTGTCGCCCATGCATAGCGATGCCATGGTGAAAAGTACACTGAAGCAACATCTAAAACCGCCTTTGTGAATGAACCAAACAGTTGCATTAACACGTTAACACCAGCAGCTGTCCGCAATCAAAAGTATCCGACAATGCCGAGATGGAGACAGGGTATTGTGGAGCGGTGACTTTTGCATTATTCTATGTCATTCTTATCATACAGCACTCATGGTTAGCTGATTTTGCTGATAATGCAGACAAACAGCCGCTCTGATTAGTAGCCACACTGGCCAAGCGCGAACATAATGATAAACATCAGAATCGGAAAAGGCATCGTTCCGCAGTTGCACCCAGCAGCTGCGTAACGGAAACCATGAACTGAGCGACTCAGTTTCAGCTTCGGATCGTCTGCTGCTCAAGCAAGCCAGCGGCAAAAGTAGGGCAGTCTCATTGCCATCGCTATTTAGTAATGGCGGCGCCCATGCCTGCTGAACAGCGGCGGTATAGCGGCGGTTTCTGGTGGTGCCAATGCATGTTCTAACTTCGTTGATGTATTTTCAGGCTCTAAAAATACATCGAAATGTTAAAAATTGGGTTTACTGCATAAGAATAAGTTTCTGAGCCTGGAATTGCATTGTAAAATTTCATTGAAGCGGGACGATCAAAGAAAATGTGTTCGTTGTGGCGACATTATTTATGAATTGACTCCTATAGATTGCTGAAGAGGAATCGTGAATTTTTCGTTGTCGTGGAAATTTTGTTGGAGCGAAGTTCGACTGTATAGTATACTCGGTGACAGCTTTTTTTGACAGTACTGTGGAAGCTAAAGAGCCGAAGTGCATGCCTGCTACTCTATTTATTATAAGACCTACACAGTTGCAGGAAGTCATAGGTAAAATAGAGTTATTCTTCACATTGCAAGAATGTCTTCCTTTTTTTCCCTATTTTTAAGATAGCCCCATCTTTTCAGCACACCTCTTTTCCAAAATAAACATGGCTTCTGCGATGTAGTGGGGCAGTGTATGGACACAAACGCGTTTTTTTTCTAATATAAACTATACTCGTATTATGACACTCAAATGTGTGCCACACCATTGACATATGTCTTCTATTCACTTTTCTTGTGTATAATTTTGTAAATGCATTATTGATGCAAGCGAGCGAAAATCAAATCGGCCACAATCTGCTTGAGGAGCACTACGAATGTGCGGAAGACGTGCCTCTGTACTCCCATGTCAAGAAAATTGTGGTCGCCAAGTATAGACACTGTATTGCGCTTTGTTCTGCGATCAACTCTCCTCTACGGAAAGGTCACGTTAGTCTTTGTCACGTCGTTTTGAAGCATGCAGAAGAATAATGGCCGACTCACCCAACCAGCAGCTGAACAGGAGTGGCCACCAGGAGTGCTTGCTCACTAAGCTTCTTGAGCCGTGCTACACTTCCAGCCAGCTGGGGGTAGTGCAGCTGCAACTCCGAGCACAACTGAGTAGCCAGTGGAGCAATCTCTGATGACAAAATAGCCAGAGAAGCCACAGTCACATGAGGTCACAGAAAATTGATCTGATTGGCAAGCAAGAAAGAGGAAAGGGGAAAGCACTAGGAAAAAGAAAACACTCTCACGTGATCCCACACATCAACTGACAGGTGTCGTTACTGCCAACATTTCATATAAAGTGCTTGTCTCATTCTCAGGTGTCTGTACCACCCTCTCCAGACTGACGAGTGATCAATAGGGCATGAATGCCGGTTGAAATAAAAATTTTGGGCCTTCAAATATATTGTAACATTTTGAATGAGTTGTGAAGTGGTTCGAAAAATGTGTTTCTGACACTCAAACAAATTTCAATATTATTGCTCGTTGTATGTAACATCAAACTTGCATCATAAAAAGCAACATGGCATTCTGCATATGACATCAGAAATGTGATGGCATTTGTGGCACGCTGAATGCATTGTGCTGAAACATGCATATATGCATCATAGTCAATAACTACGATGTGTTCATGTCAAGGTGATAAGCAGAGTGTTCAACACATGAGGCCTTCTTCCCAATGAAATGCGACCACAGCAACTGAATAAAGGAGCCTGCCAAGCAGAACACTACGCATTAACCACCGAGACTGTTTTGAATTTAGCGTACACTTGGCCCTCAGGAACACTTTCGTGGCCGCACCTGTTCCCATAGTTAATATGCCCATGATGACTTCAAGTTGGAATTGTGATGCTCTCTGAGTGCTTATCAAGCCATCCAAAGGGTGTTTTTTTATCAGTTTCACTTGTGAGTTTTTTTTTCTGCAGCGGAAAAATTTTCAAAGCTCGTTCCTTGTCATGTAGCAGTTATTCCATACATGGCATCAATGTGGCGCACGCGTGCTCTTCAAGAATGGCAAATTTTAACAGATTCCGATTAACCTGAGCGGGACTCTTTGAATGAAGGTAGTAGTACAGGTACGGAGGATGACTTGGATTTGTCAGATTCGAGCAATAACGGCTAAGGTGCGTCAAACAGCCCCACAACATTCACTGGTGAATGTCATCTTCTCCTAAGGCTGTATTATTGCTGCCACATGTCAATGCAAACAAAACCGGTGCGCACTAAAGGTTCTTGTCTGGAAGGTGTCAACTTTGTTTAGGCGAGAGCATTTACTCCGTTTGCTGCAGAAATAGCGGAGTTCTCTCTGCAATGATGGTGCAGAAGTCGCTCCGGAGTGCTGGCTGCTTCGAGTTGTGCTTCATCACATATGTCATGAGGGAGACACAAGCAACTATGTGTGGATGCATATTTTCGACGCACAGTGAACAAACCTTGGTTTTACCGTGCCAACCTGATAGGCACCAGAGGTTACATTACTGTACGCATTTAAATAGCCTATGTGGAGCTTATAATCACACTATTATTTTATCAGGACCTTGTGTTCAAAACGCATGTAGCAATTTGTTAATGTTTATCCTGTGCAGAGTAGCACTGATGTTTTTATGAATTTATTTTTCTTTCTTTATGCATTTTTCAGTTTTTGATATTTTTTATACCATTCGAAATAACTACATCGTTTGAAATCAGTACTCTTAGAAGAACCAATCCTTTCTCTATTATTTAATACCCTACCCTTCAGCATCCACTAATTCCTGGTACAGTTGCCAACCAATAAATCGAACACCGATAATACGGACATGCCCGTTAATTCCGAAAGTCTCACGGCACGGCCGATAGGCCCATAGAACTTATGTGAAAAGACAACCGATATTTCAGACAGTGGCCAGATCTGCATTCGATAATCCAGACTATGTTTGAAACTAGCACGCACACCGAATCAGCCACCATTATCTCCTTTGGTACCCATATCACACAAAGTATGGCCTCAGAGATGACAGACGAAAGCAAACAGGTGATTTGTGAGGCTTTTTGATCTTGGAGGCACTGTTCATCTGTGGGTGTTCGTATCGACATCGCGAACATCTGATGTATCCCCGCGGTGTTATGGTTATGGTACTGTGCTGTTATCAGCGCCATTCTGTCGTATGTGTGTGTCTGCCGTACTGTGTTCTCCTGAATTCTGTTTGGGCTCTGTTTTGTGTTGGGACCTGCTTTATTTTGCGCTCTGCTGTGCCCTCACAGCCAGTGTCAAAGACCACGCCGATGACGACAAAACGCTGCAGTCATACACAATGCTGACCATGGCAAAGAAAGCTGTCGTTATTCTGCAAGTGGTTAGTGATCGCCTGCAAGTCGAAGTTGCCCAAGAGTTCGAGAGTTCAAGAACCCGACACTGCAACTGAAGAGCCTACTCGCCCAGCACAAATTCAAGTGCGGACGTTATTGACGATCTGCGATGCTGCGGTGTGCCAATTCCTGACGCAGTTACGTTTGAAGATTTCCCAAATGTCGACTGTGATGTGTCCTCGTGTGCCGAATTAGACAACGACAATATAATTGAGCAGGTTGTGCAAACGACAAACAGTGATTTTGACTCTGATGATGATGACACACAGTGTGCTCCGGAGCCATTGCATGCGGACCTGTCTCGAGGCCTCGCAGTTCTTTCAGCGTCGTACCGGTGGTCTTACAGTGAGCATACCCCACTGGCAGAAATACAAACCTACTTGGTTGTACTTTAACAGAAGTGCGTGCAGCAACGCACTGACAGCTTTTTACGGCGTCCGGGGCACTGAAACACCAATAAAACTACTTTTCTCTGATGCATTCATTTTTTCGGACATGCGATAAGTCGGACTTATTTACATTCCCTGTGGAGTCCAAATTATTGGTCCTCTACTGTATGTAAACCCATCCGAGAAACAGAATAAACCTGTCAATGAAAAAACTGCTTTTGAACGAGCGAAAAATTTCAATTCCTTTATTTTCTTCTGTTTCCACCAAAGATGATGGTGCCCTTCAGTCTTTTTCTGACACTTGCGATCTCCCTCCGGTATCCAACCCATTAATCAACGAAGAAGGAGCATTAAATTGTCTTGTACATATTGACATTGTCCCGACAGCCTTCTGAACGAGTTTTTATATAGATATGCTCAATGGGTCGCAAAGTATCTTACTATAATCTTTCCATCTTCAATTAACAAGGCTTCATTTCCTTTAGCCTGGAAAGAAGCTAAAGTGATTCCAGTTCTTAAAAGTGGTAACACTTCGTAAGTGAGTAGCTACAGGCCCATCTCTCTTACGAGTACCTGCTCCAAACTTCTTAAGCATTTAATGTGCAAGCATCTGTCTAACTATTTATACACAATTTATTATGACCAGTGCAACACGGTTTTCGCAGGGAATTATCTACAGCAGTGGTTCTCAACCATAGATGTGTCGGGGACCCCTTGTGGGCTGGTGAAAGTGATGACCCCTTAAGTGAAAAGGAAGGAAGGGGGTGTACATAGGTAAATTAACACAACTGGAGCGTGAAACAGGTGCCTTTTATTGCTACCAAAAACATCAAACAAACGTGCCACATCACTTCATTTCAGACAGTTGATCAATACATAGCACAGTCACGCTTAAATTTAAGCACTACTTGAAAAAAAAAAAAAAAAAAACGCCGGTGAAGGTTTCGTGTATCATAGAAATGGCTTCACGGACACTAGGAGGTCCGCGGACCCCCATTCGAGAACCATTGATCTACTGTAACGCAGCTTGCATTATAGTTCACGATCTTGTGCAAGCAATTTAATTGCAGGGAACAAATTGATCTAATATTCTTGAATTCTGGCTTTGATAATGTCTCACATCTCAAACTCTTAGTGTAAATGAAATATTCAGAAATTTACATATTACTCAATGGTTCACTTCCTACTTCCATTCTTGTAAACAGTACGTACAAACAAGTAAACCTAACTTGACTTCTAGACCCGGTGAAACCAGCATCCCTCAAGGCAGTGTTCTGAGGCCTTTTTTATTTCTTATTTATCAATGACCTGCCCTATATATAACAAGATCATTTCCCTGAGAGACTAGTTAGACCTGAACAACAGCTTAGAAAAATTTTCCTTTGGTGTAATGAATGGCAGATGACTTTAAACCCCTTAAAATCAGTTTGCATGAGCATAGAAAAAAAAACGGTACCTCTGAAATATAATTACAATATTAGTCCCTTGATAAAAAGGGTAACAGAATATAAATACTCAGGGTTAATCTTGACTCCAGACTTAGGTAGAACAGTCACACAGACGTCGCCTGTAGAAAGGCAAATAAAACTCTCTGGGGTACATGGCGCAACACCCGAAGTGAACAGTACGCAATGCTATACAACCAATAATCAAATATTCTATGGTAGTAAGGGACACCGTCGCTAAACTATATAAATTGGACTAATTGCAAAGGATGACTTCTGGGTTCATATTAAATAAATACATGCACTTTGCTTCCAAACTTTGCGACCTTGTAAACCTTGACTTCTTAGAGTTCATAACTATGTACGACTGTTTAAAATTTCAATTCCTCATTATTTATAATTTGGCTGAAATTAACTCTCTACATTTTTTTTGCATTTTTTCCAGATTCCCGCTCTAGACACATAGTTTGTATATACAGCAACCAGCCACCTGAAACAATGCAATTAAATACAGCTTATTTTCATGGGCAATTAAAGAATGGAATGAATTGCCAAACCCAGCTGTCATGTCTTCCTTTATCACATCTTTTTCTGAAGCTTCCGAATGGCTTATTTTCTCTGAACTACATGCATCATAGCACTCATTTTTATTCCATTTTATTCATTCTAGTCTTCACGATGTCAATGTATATTGCCTTTCCTTTTGTCAATATTTGTTTTCAATATGCATAATGTAAGTGTACATGCCTGTGTTTGATTTTTGTGCATAATGTTAATGTAAATGCCTGTGTTCACTGTACGTCTCTATTTTGTAAAGTATTTCATGCCCATTTTTATTTATTTAATTTTCTTGCTGGAATTTCAGCATAAAAGTTTGTGCTATCTTGTAAAATTGTATGCTTTTTTTACTCCTGTAAATATCCCCACTTGGGGTTGACCATATTAATAAACAAACAAACAAGTGTGAGCTGAAACACTGAATTCATGATCATTCAACGATTATTCCTTGACAAGTTTAACAATTATTTGTCCGTGATGAGGTGTAGCCAACTGCAGAGAAGTGTCGCAGTGTTTGGGTATGGGGATAATTATTTGATTTTAATTCACAAGTCATGCACTGTACAAAGCAGTGAGCACATTCCAAACGTGTTTAAAAAAAAAAGAACGGGACTAAAACTCATTTTGGAGGTTCCTTAATTGGCAGTTTCTTGGTTTATACTTTCAGTTTCACTGTGGGTTCAGTGAAACCAGTATTTAGCATTGGCGCAATCGAATATTGTTAAACGAAGAAATGAGACATCACACTACGCATGGCATCGGTAAAAGACTTACGGACACATGATGAGCAGTAGTTTCCAGCTGAAAATTGATCGTTTCTAAGAGGCGAGGTATACTGCATATTGTGTGTAGCATCCATTTGCAAAAATCAGCTCGCATGACAAAGACGTACGTCACATGTGAATAATGATCCGTGTAAATGTGAATAATGAGCCAGAAATCACGCAGCTATTTCACATATCTAGAAAAAGTCGCATAGCCCGAACAATGTAGGGAAACGACGTGTGGTGAGGATTGTGGTTGCCGCCACAAATTAAGATTCATCACATTTTTTTCCATTGTGCACAAAAGGTCGCAAAAGTCTGCAGTGGGCAAATAAAAATGCAGTCAGGGTTATGTCATTTTTTTTCAGTTGTGTAGAAGTTAAATGCATATTTATTCTTTATTTTTTTGGCCACATGTACATCTGCCAGACTGGTCTATGTACACGTTCCCCAGCGAGCATCGAAATTCATTGAATGGAACCGTGTCACCTCACCTCACTATGTTAGGCATGCAAATGTAATCCAGTTGTGGACACTAATATATCAACTGGCGCAGAAGAACTCAGCCAGAAGCCATCGTCGCCGTGATCATATGTGATCTACTTCATATTATTTGCTTTCGCTGACTGACTGCATTTATTATATTTTCGACAATCTGCCCCGCTCCAGAAGAAGCATAAAGCAAAACTGGTCCATGCAGCTCGGACGGGGCTCTGAAGTACAGTGCCGGCCTGTGTTTAAGTAAACCAAGACCACACGAGTCCACCATGACCAGAATGTGCCTGGGTTACTCAAAACAATGGCCAAAAGCATCGGTTCTTTCGGTCGTGTCGCTCTGTTACGTCGTAGTCTACCGTTCGACTTCCGTTTGAAGTTTGATAATACCCATGCGGAGATCAAGATACTTCAATACTCTATTTTCCGTCTCTCCCAAGGAAAATATGGTAGCTTCTGACGGTCGCATAGCTTCTCGAGAAAATAATTTCTGGTAGCCTGTGGCAAAGTTGATGTGTCGTATGAGCTGGATTCTGAATGAAAAGGGACTGAACTTCCTACGCTTAAGCACGCAGGGCATCCAGGAGAAAAATTACTTATCCTCAAAAGGCTGGTCTTTCATTTCTTCAAGTTTGTTCCAGAGTCACCCACATTCGGCTTTGTGTTGTACGCATCTTGTATTTCGTCAAGAGCGTTGGATCCTCGCCGCAAGTCATCGGCAGATAAGCTCTGCTTCCAAGTTTTAACAAGTTTTATGTTTTCTTAGCTTGGCATGTTCAAATCGTGTTTTACCGTCATTAGAACTTGCCGTTTCACAGGATCGTCGCCCATGTGATTGTGATCCTTTTTTATGGTAGTGCTACCGAATGTCAAGCGTCAAACTGCCAAAACGCTAAAACATTTCACGGAAGAACTCAGCCAGAAGCCATCGTCGCTTCTGTAGTAGACGAAGTAGATCATGTTCAACCACATGATCTACTTAAAGAGCCTTTGCTGGCTGACTGCGGTTATTGTATATTGAACACCATGCAGTCTTTGAAAGTACAGTTGTTTTGTACAATCAACCTATTCACACAACATGAAAAATTGCACGAATCATATGTCACAAATAACGCTGCACTTTGTGAAGTTCACCTTTGCGATTGTTACAAAACAAGTAATTCTACTACATTCATCATCATCATCAGCCTGACTACGTCCACTGCAGGACAAAGGCCTCTCCCATGTTCCGCCAGTTAACCCGGTCCTGTGCTTGCTGCTGCCTATTTATACCCGCAAAATTATTAATCTCATCTGTGCACCTAACCTTCTGTCTCCCCCTAACCCACTTGCCTTGTCTGGGAATTGCGCTAGTTACTTTTAATGACCAGCGATTATCCTGTCTACGCGCTACATGCCTGGCCCATGTCCATTTTCTCTTCTTGATTTCAACTATGATATCCTTAACCCCCATTTGTTTCCTAATCCACTCTGCTCTCTTCTTGTCTCTTAAGGTTACACCTATCATTTTTCTTTTCATTGCTCGCTGCGTCGTCCTCAATTTAAGCTGAACCCTCTTTGTAAGTCTCCAGGTTTCTGCTCCGTAGCTAAGTACCGGCAAGATACAGCTGTTATATACCTTCCTCTTGAGGGATAGTGGCAATCTACCTGTCATCATTTGAGAGTGCTTGCCAAATGTGCTCTACCCCCTTCTTATTCTTCTAGTTACTTCAATCTCGTGGTTCGGCTCCGCGGTTATTACCTGCCCTAAGTAGACATAGTCTTTTACAACTTTGAGTGCACTATTACCTAACTCGAAGCGCTGCTCTCTTCCGAGGTTGTTGTACATTACTTTCGTTTTCTGCAGATTAACTTTAAGACCCACCTTTCTGCTCTCCTTGTCCAACTCCATAATCATGAGTTGCAATTCGTCCCCTGAGTTACTCAGCAATGCAATGTCATCGGCGAAGCGCAGGTTACTAAGGTACTCTTCATTAACTCTTATCCCTAACTGTTCCCATTCTAGGCTTCTGAAAACCTCCTGTAAGCATGCGGTAAACAGCATAGGGGAGATTGTGTCCCCCTGCTTTACACCCTTCTTGATTGGTATTCTGTTGCTTTCTTTATGAAGCATTATGGTAGCAGTTGATCCCCTGTATATTTCTTCCAGGATGTTTATATATACTTCATCAACGCCCTAATTCCGCAGTGTCTGCATGATGGTTGATATTTCTACTGAATCAAAAGCCTTCTCGTAATCTATGAAGGCTATGTATAGTGGTTGGTTATATTCTGAGCATTTCTCTATGACCTGATTGATAGTATGAATGTGGTCGATTGTTAAGTAGCCTGTTTGAAATCCTGCTTGTTCCTTTGGTTGATTGAATTCTAATGTTTTCTTTACTCTGTTAGCAATTACCTTTGTAAATAGCTTGTATACTACAGAGAGCAAGCTAATCATCCTGTAATTCTTCAAGTCCTTGTCATCTCCTTTCTTATGTATTAAGATGATATTAGCGTTCTTCCAAGACTCTGGTACTCTTCCCGTCAGGAGACACCTCGTAAACAGGGTGGCTAGTTTTTCTAACACAATCTGTCCTCCGTCTTTCAGCAGATCTGATGTTACCTGATCCTCACCAGCAGCTTTGTCTCTTTGCATGCTCTCCAAAACTTTTCTGACTTCTTCTATCATTACTGGTGGGGTGTCATCTGGGTTACTGCTAGTTCTTATAGTATCAAGGTCGTGGTTGTCCCGACTACTGTACAGATATCTGTAAAACTCCTCCGCTATTTGAACTGTCCTGTCCATATTGGTAGTTATTTTGCCTACATTAATTGACATTAAACACGCGTGTATTCAATGTTTATTTATGTCACCATTTTTGTAGATTTTTGCACACACAGAATGAACTTTCAGTTGTGAATGAGCCCTAGATGGTGCGTGTATTCCATCCCTTCTCCTGCTTTTTTTTCTTTTTTTATCGTTCTAAGTACTATTTCAACACGTAGATATAGCGCCAGTGAAGGCTAGTCTACTCAACGAGCTTATTATAACAAGGTTGTTATTTTCAACTTGACAAGAGTGATGGAGAAAGTGGGTTCAACGACTCACGGTTCATCCTATGCACAGGAGCCCGCCCAGCAGCCAGTACACAAGCTCATGGACACCCCTGTTCACTGAGGAAGCCGCAGAACACGAATTCTACTGCCTGAGACACTAACACAGATTACTGACACAGTTACTATGAGTTCAACACAAGCTGCCGTGCAAGCTCCAACCCCTTCTATGCCAATATACTGCACCGTCCAGAATCCGCTCATGCCTA